ATGACACTGTAAGTGTTTTGCATCAACAAGCTCCACCCCACACCATTCAACTAGTCTATCCTGTGCTTGCCTCACGTTCCTTCACACCAAATAATGTTTAGGTGTGTTTGATTTTTAATGACACAGCACCTCTAGTTTCAGGAATGTGTTAGATCCATAAAGACAGAGACATGGTACAAACCAGAGGATGGCTGCCTTTAAGCTGACTGAGGAGAATCAATGAGCAATTTCTGATCAGAAATTCTGCTAATGAGCTCTGAGGTTTAAAGGGGAGGTCGGCTTGGGAAGCAAAATCCTTCTCAACTTTAATTTGCTCTTTTCATCATGTAATGTTATGCAGCTGCCTAACCACAGCGGCTCTCCAGGAGGCAGCGCCCCCCTCCAGTTAATAGCTCACACAGGGACGAGCGCGTTCACATACTGTACAAGACCTGCAGAAAACATTAGCGCGTGCATTGCTACTATGACTTGAGCTGAAGTGAAGGAGTCCTCCTGGAGCTCTGAAGACAAACAGACATGAGACTCCTAATTTAAACAGAATCCAATAATCAGGATAATATAGGCATGAAGTGCAGCTGTAAAACAACTTGTTGTTGAGCGCTCTAGTTTCATGCATGTGGAGCCGGGATGCACCTGGAAACGTACCTCTACGTCTAATGATGGTCTAACTTTATGCAATGTTACTGATTGGATAGCAAATATCATGTAGAGTGCAGCAGTAACAGAAGAAGAAATACACGAAAATAACAGAAAATAATAAATATGCAGAGGTGGTAGAACACAAACTCAATACTCAAGGAAAGGTGCAAGTACATTCCTAAAGAATACCCCACTATAAGTAGGAGTACCACTTAAAATTCTTTACTCAAGTTGAAGTGCTAAGTAAATACTCTAAAATATACTAAAAGTACAAAAGTACTGGTTTTCCACTAAGAAAAAATATTACAACTAGTCTATCCTGTGCTTGCCTCACGTTCCTTCACACCAAATAATGTTAAGGGGTGTTTGACATTATTAATTATTAAACTTAAATAATGTCTAATAATTAATACAAAATAATGGTCCAAGATCTGTTACTGTATAGTGACTGGGTATGGAACAAAAACAGCACAGCTGCTAAAAGTGGAGCCAGTTTTAACCACTTTATGTTCTGCCACGTTAATCAATAATGCTAGTCTACATCATCATTTATTGTTTGATTATATTTTGTATTTAGAATATTAATCTTCAAAGTAACTAAGAAATTAAAGTAGTGAATAAAAAGTACAATATTTCCCTTTAAATTGTACTGGAGTAATAGTCACAGTAACAGAAAATGGAAACACTCCAGTAAAGTACAAGTACCTTAAAACTGTACTCAAGCATAGTACTTGAGTAAATGTATTTAGTTACTTGCCACCACTGCTAATATGCTTTATAATACCCTATCAGTTACAGATATTTACAGTTTCCCCTGCTGTTGCTCTTTACACCTTTGACATTTACTGTTACAAGAGGCTGATATCTAGCAGATGTTCTAACAGATGCTCACAGGTCTATTTCCTATCAGAGAATCTCAAAGACATGTTCAACATACCAGCAAACTGTGCACAAAGGCATCTTTACAACACCAAATGCCCCCAAAAGTGATAGGCCCTGATGTGACTCTCTCATCCATTTCATTTGTTATTGTCTTGTGACTGTTTTATTGTTTTTCATATTTCTTACTTATAGTCTTGTTATTTAATCAGTATCATTTCTTATGAGCATTTGTCTTTAAATTCCTGCACCGTTTAAATGAGCCTGTCCTGTTATCACTTAAAGCGCTTTGGTAATTGCATCGACATGAACAAACTGCTATAGAAATAAAGTTACATTTTAATTAGATGGTTCACATTAAATACAATTTCTTGTTAATGTCATTATAAAAGTATGTTTCCACTATCAGCTCCAGTCCCTCAGTCACACAGTGCACTGCTGCTCTGTTTTTAGTGCTACACCATGTGGCCTCATATTGCCTCAGATAAAAATAACGTCAGTGCGATCCATGTGAGAAGCACATTTTAAATGTGGGAAAAATACTTTCAGACCTGTACTCTGCATAGGCACCTCCTGAGCTGAAGTATCGGAATCAATACCAGGAGAGGAGAGGCTGGGCCGATGCAGTTGATATATTGAGTCATAGCAGTAATAGTATATGTATAGCAGTAGAGACAGCACATTCAGTTTCAAATGACACTACAGTGACCTTTTGGACAGACATCACCCCCCCTTTGAATAATTAATGTAAGTTGACATAAGTTTAGTCTATACAACGCCTGTAATGTATGTCAGAACATATTTATAGGAGTTCTCTGAGACAGGAATAACCCCATGAAGACTGTACAGAAAGAAGTGTGCTGGCAGTTGCGGTTGTGTATTGTACTTTGCACTGTGGTTTGTACACTGCGCTCATTCACAGAGGCCCCCGCCCCTGTCCCTGCCCAAGATATATTACCCAAAATCTGTAACAAGATTCCTCCCACTTCCTTTGTGTTTATGAGTTTCATTAGAGTGGCACTGACCCTGACTGAGCTAAACTGGAGTCACTGGTCTCATCTAGACACTTTCCCAGCC